AAAAAAGTACACATATTTAACTCTAATATTATTTTGACATCTCTGATTTGCCAAATGTTTAAACCATTTTCACTTTCATAGTTTTATCTTCAACTGCTTGTAATTTTAACTGTCYTGAGTGTTCATAGAAATGTTTTTTACCAGCTTTCAGCCAAGCTTCTGATGTTTCTGTAGACACCAAACATTATGTTTTACTACAATAACTCAGAGTAATTAAAGTGGAAAACCGGGGGTTGGGCTTCAGAGATGAATGAACCGATTGGCCACCAGTTGAATATTCCTGGTGTAAACTGGGTTTAGTTTAATTATGTGAAAGCTCAGCTATCAGTTGCAATAAGAAGAACTTAATCAGATTAGTAGAATCTGTAAGTACCACTCAAGAGGAGGAAGTGGTCTTAAAAACGTAAGGTCCATAGTCTGACATTTACTATCCTAAAATATTCTGGAGTTATACTGTGGATAATTTTTGTACCATCTTATTGATGGATAAATAGACAGTTCGGCACAAACTACGAAGGACTTTTATACTTTTGTAAAATGAGACATTGAGCTTTTTTAACTTCTCTAATTATTTGTGAGGTCAGCTGTGTCCTGTCTGACTCACACTTCTGTTTTGTGGGTTTGATCGTGTAACAAACCTACATTTGCTCCAAATCAGGGCAGGTGAACTTCTGATGTCAAAACGTGCTGTAACAGGAAAGGTGCACAACTAACAGGTCCAGTTTCACCTGAGTCACACGATCACTGACTCGCACCATCTGAGATTGTAGGTTGATAGTTTTGGTGCAACTTACACTAGATCTTTACTGTAGTTGTGTCCAGTTTAAGATATTTAATCCAAAAGTTATAAAGCAGGTTAGGATTAGTGGCGCTCTCAAGTTTCTGCTGGAACTTGATGAGCTCAGGAGTTTAAATCCTTTCAGGGAAGAAGCACTTCGACCGCGACTGACGTGTCGGTAAGAACCTCACATGTCAGTCATGCTTTCTTTGACTGTCCAAGGTTTTCTGCAGACGCAGGCACTCTGYAAACACGCTCGCAAACTGCAGAGTCATCATCATTCGGTCTGACCGTGCAGTGTCTGACTGAACTGCTTCCACACACAAGAAAAGACAAGTTAAAAGCTGTTCATGTGACCAGAAATAGTTTAGGTGTGAACGTTTCACGGCTTTACAGCTCCAAAATAAGAGTGAAGTGTTTGCTGCGTTTCTGAAACTGAACTGAGACGAACTCCTGCCTGTTTAAACCCTCAGTAATAAACTGTATTTGTGTGTTTTTGTGTTTTTTTCTGACAGATGGGCTGACATGTTATCAGCGAAGGGTTGCCATGATGACCCTGAACATGACTTCTCCCACCCCTTTTTACAGGTACTATCTAAGTACAGCCTTTTGGATGGAAAAAGTAAAAAAAAAAATTAAAAAAATCAGTAATTCATGTAAAAACAATAATAATGATATGAAAATACAGTGCAATACCTCATAAAACCAAGTGTTAAAAAGGCTCATCACCTTTCATGTTAAACTTTTATGATCCGTGTTATTTTCAGTTTTAAAACAGATATTGAAAAGTGAAAATTATTATTATTTTATATCAAACAATAAAACGGTCTGTCGTTTTGTTTTTCTCTAATCAGAACTTTAAAACCGTCCTTATCACAAACTAGTGGACCTAGTTAAAGCCCTTCTCCAGATCTTGTAATTTTGTTTGTAAAACTTTGGACTGTTCTGTTGTGCGTCTGGTTCTCCTGGTTCTCCTGGTTCAGGCGGTGGGGATGTTCCTGGGTGAGTTCTGCTGTCTCGTGGTCTTCCACATCTGGCTTTGCCATGACAGACGGAGGCCGGAACCAAGAATAAACCCGGGCCAGAGGTTCAACCCTCTTCTGTTCTTTCCTCCTGCCATGTGTGACATGTTGGCCACTTCCATCATGTATGTTGGTAAGTGACCACAGCCTGCTGGGTTAATGGATGGGTTCGGATTAAAGTCTTGATTCATAGATATGCAGAATGGCAGATTAGTGTTTGGATGTCTGTTATAAAAACGGTCCTGTTGTCTTCCAGCCCTCAACATGACGAGCGCCTCCAGCTTCCAGATGCTCCGCGGAGCCGTCATCATCTTCACCGGTCTACTTTCTGTGGCGTTCCTGGGGCGGAAGCTGGCGGTCAGTCAGTGGATCGGCATACTGATCACCATCCTGGGCCTGGTGATAGTCGGGCTCGCCGACTTCGCCACTGGTCACAGAGACGACTCGCACAAGCTCAGCGACGTCATCACTGGTGAGATGTTTCTGAGCGTAAACTGAGCGGTCAAATAAAAGCACGAAGACATCCGTGCAGACCGTCTCCTGTTTGAAGTGATTTTTAGTCACATAACGACTCTTTTCTGCTCTTTAGGGGATCTTCTGATCATCATGGCTCAGATTGTTGCCTCCGTTCAGATGGTGCTGGAGGAGAAATTTGTCTACAAACATGATGTCCATCCTCTTCGGGCCGTTGGAACTGAAGGTAAATCGGTTCTTTGTCCGTACATGTGTCACCTAAACTGACATAAATGTTCAGTGTTAAAAGAAATCAACATAAAGGAATAATTTCATTATAGATATAAATGGAAATTAGTGAATAAATCAATTAAAACGTTCTGGAAGTCATTCACACTACTGAACGTATCTCATTCTGCAATTTTTGTGCTATTTCAAAAGTTTATGTATCAACATATTTAGCTCCTTCAGGACATTCTGGCTCTATTATTTGGCATTTCAGCAATTTATAGTTTTGAGATATTTAGCTTTTTCTACTTTTTTTCTCATTAAAAACAACGAGCTGTTTTCATCATGTTTAAAACTCTTGAAATGTTCGTAAATCTTTACTTTACTTTTTACCTTTTTGTTCAGGTTCTAATTTTTTAACTCCTTTGTATGAATTTCAGTAGTGCTGGGCGGTATACCGTTTTGTACCGAATACCGGTTTTTATTTTTGTTATGATATGAACTTTCTGAATACCGGACATAACGGTTTAAATAGCCTGAACACGTGCGGAACGTTTCGTCGCGGCTGCCATTGAGCTGTTTCCCGGGGGACAGTTTTCCTCGCAGCACCGCTATGTGCGTTAGCATGCTAATGTTATTGTTGAACAGCTTCAGAGACAGGTGGGGATTCCGCTGCTTATATTGACTGACTTTTAAAAAAACATCCTGTTTTCACCATCGCTGAATGTAGTAAACACCTCTTCAGTGACGTGCACAGTTAGATTTAATGCGTGACGTTAAYATGGAGACGTTATGTTAATGGAGACTTAATGTGGTTCTATTGTGAAAAACCCGGGGAAAGTAGTTTGTAATGGAATTGGAATTGACTGGTGTGCGAGGTGAGTCGTGCTGATAATCGTTATTAAATAACATAAAACAATAAACCCGATAATAAACTTTTCGTAATCCTCCTCCTTCACGACTGGACCAAAATGCATGACTACTGTCTGCAACCAGGAGGAGAACAGACACAGAGGAGTGAAACAGCGACACAGACAGAGGTACAGTAAAAGAAAAAAGTTAATAAACAGTGTTTGTACRTTTTATTATCAGCTGAGCTGCGATGAAAAGAAAAATACCGTCAAATCAGTGTAAATGTTGAAAATACCGTGATATAAATTTTTGGCCATACCGCCCAGCTCTAAATTTCAGCTTCCTTCAGCTTCTGTTTTGCTGATTTCAGCTTTTTTAATCTATTTTATTTAAGTTTTTTGTGCTACTTTCAGCTGCTTTTTGTGTGTTTTAATTTTAAGCTAATTTGAGCTTTTTTCACCTTTTGTAATAATTTCAACTTCTTACTGCTTAATTCACCAAACTGTTAATCAGAAAAAATAATAGTCTGTGTATGTAAATGTTTGTTTTCAGCGTAAAAGGACAGTAAACAAATATTTTAATAACCGTGCTTGAAATTCACTTAGTGAAACATTTAGTTTAGATTAGATTAGCATTAAGAAGCATTTTAGCTTTTCCTTTGATTCAGTTCAGCTTTGCATCCTGCAGCTGAGCCGTTGAGGTTGTGGTTTTCCTCTCATCTGCTCCGTTCTTTGGTCAGTTTCAAAAACTGACTGCAGGTAGCTGCAACCAACAGGAACAGGCTTGCAAGCCTCTGTTTTCCCCCACCTGTAATTGGTGGATTTAAAATGCAGAACTAAAAGCTTGTGAAAGGTACAGTAGGCCCAATCCTGCTGTTCTGTAACTGCTGTACGAGCTGAGAACGTCTCCTAATGCTGGTTTTTCCAAGGAGTCAGAACTAATCACTTAGTGCTGCTTCCATGTGTCCTCAGCTAATAGAAGCTTTTAATAGAGTTTGATCAAAACGCGAGATAGTTTGTGCGTGAAAGGCAGCCTTATYGTTCAGTAGTACAGATACAACTTAGTAAAATCCAAGTAAAGTTTCCCAGGTTGTGTTTTCTACAGAAAAATACAACAAAATGCCGAACACACTATTTACACACACCTGTTTTCATATTATTGACCAAGCTTATGTTTTTAGATAAACTGTGTGCTGACACAGGGGTTCCCAAACTTTTCCATGTCATAATCCTCTCAAACAGCGTTAACTTTTTCTCAACCATTCAATAAATATTTTATTTGTCTAGCATAAGAATTGTATTAACTAACATGTTTTAAACACTTCCACTGA